CTTACTTTCATGAGAGCGGGAGCTGCCAGAGATCTACGAGCGGAATATGACCAAGTCGAGCCAGATCTGCGTGCGGAATATTCGCCCCCAAAATGGAGCGCTTTTGGAGCGCTCGAGATCTGCGACGGAATTCACCATTGGGTACACCACAGCCACTAGAAAGGTCTTGCTCGCTGAAAGGCTGATTGGACGTGCAAGAATTATCGCGGCGTGCTAGACGGGTTTTGACGGAAGCTTCTTGACACAGACCCGGAGGAGTACCGGAACGTGCGCCGCGAGAGCCGGACAAAGTTTCTGCAGTTTCTTTCACGAGTGGAACCAAGAATCGCGTGACAAAATGAACTAGCGAACGCAAAAAACACCACGGTGCGCCATTTTCGTTTTCATCTCCCGAAGACAGAGAAAAAACAGAAGAAAAAAAAAACAAGAAAATATTGTACGATATTGTACTGTTGCCAGACTAAACGCTTTTCAACTCAATCTCCCGCCAAAAATCCCCGAGTGAAAAGGGGTTCGAATTTATCAGTCCGCGCGTCCGCGACGACGTGCAGATTGCAGGAATCAGTGACGTGGAGGTCACGTGGTGCACGGTCCGCGGACGAAAATCCTCGAAATTTGCGATTCGGCTCATCGTACTACCGGCACGGTCTTTCCTCCTCGCAAGCACCGGCAGGCGGGTGAGGAGGACGCGCGACGCCTCAACTTGGATCAGCGCGAACATTCCTTTCAGATGCGCGGGGCCCGCTTTTTCCCTGGGCACGCCACTCGATAAAGGGCGCCCGCGGTCCCCCACCCAGAAGGGAGGGTAGGCCAGGGGGGTCGGGAGGGCGGCCCCGCTCCTGAAATTATGGCCAGGGGGGAGCACTCCCCTTGCCCTAAGCACACTGTATACCGCTACCCGCTACAAAAGAGGAGGGCGCGCCAAGAATGAAAAGAGAAACCGAAATGAATGGATGCTTTGAAACATCGATCGACGCCGCCAGCGGAGCAGAACGGCGTGGAACGGCGGCCTCGAGCCCTGCTCTGCGTGGATCGCGGGAGACCGACGGCGTGCCGCCCGCCGCTGTTCGTTGTTGTCGTTGTTGGCGGGCTTTTCTGGCAACCGGTCGTGGACTCTAGCGGCACGGCACCCTAACGGCGCTGCCGACGCCGCGGCAGGTATCTGCCACAACAGGCGCTGTTCTGTCGCTCTGCCTTGCGGCGCACCATCCGCGGAGAGGACGGGTGATGGAGGGGAGGGGAGAGGCTCGTCCAGGGCTAGCGACGGCTAGAGGTCGATGCTTTGCGGATACGTGCATTCCCGGCTTGTTCGCCCCCTTCGTAAATAACTGTCATAAAAAAAAAAAAAATTAAGAGAGTTTTTTGGGTGTGACGTTGTCAAAGGGCGGACCACTGACCGAGCGATAGGTCCAAGTTCTGGTAGAGAGTCTGACCAATGAAGAGAGACAGAGACGTAGCTCGAGAACACACACACACACACACAAAAAAACTTTTATTTAGTGGTAGGCAGAAAGCTCATTACGATAGATACACTCTGCACACATAGCTTCTGTAATAATGGATGGAATGCTTACGAACATAGGGTTCACGAATCAAGGTTTACGAAGGCTTATGCAGTTACTAATGAAGATCTTACGATTAACCCAATCAAAATATGCTAATTAAAGGAGTTACAGCGAGTGCGGAAAGTCTCATCTGATGAGTCGATGGTTGACGTCTCCCTGCGCGGTCCGTCCAAGGTGGAGGAGTTCCGGCGGTCGGCTGGCTCACAATGGGCGAGGCCCCCCGGCCTCACACCCACTTCTTTAGCTGACAGGCTCACACACAGCGGAACTCCGTCCTGCACTTGGCGAGAGGCCGTCGACAGCGGTCTTGTCGCCCCGCTCGACGACGCGATGCGTCCGTTCGCCTCCCAATCTCTTCTCGCACTGCCCCTTTGTTCCTCGCATTCAAACCCAGATTCGCACACCAAGCCCGGCTCTCCCAGACGGTCATTGCCCTGCGGATCTTCCCTTTGGCCCTGAAAGCAGTCTGCCCTTTAAACGCAAACATTCCCTGCCGTTTAAAGTAACACAACTCCGCTAGGTTCAAAGATTTTATGTTATATTGTTGTGTTTGATTTGTTTTTGGGCAGAGTTACGGATGCAGCGTGTTTCGCAGTATTTATGCCTGTGTCCGCCCAGATGCGGCCGTCTGCGGCCCATGGCTTCTGGAGTAACCCGAGCCTCTGGCAAGGCAGTCAAGAACAGGGGGCCACACGCCACTGAGCCCGGACGGGCGAATTGAGGGGAGGAGAACCGGCGAGCAAGGTGCTGAGAAACACTTCCCGCACGCGTCGGTGAATCCGAAGTTGGGGGAGGATTCCGGAAAAAACCATGCGGCCGCTCATGTCAACAGACACTCCTCCCCGACCCTTGCCGTTTTATGTGACAAAGACACTGGGCCTAGACGTGGGCTGGAGAAGACTGCCTACAACAGGGGGGGTATCAAGTAACTCATTATGGTTTATTCCCAGCCATAAAAACGTTTAAACGAGCATATGTACCCACGTGAGGTGCACGTGACCCTGTCACATGCGAGTGCAGTGCGCAGCCAGGTGTAAAGTGTCGAACCGAAATTTTTATCCGTTCGGTTCGGGCTCGGGTTCGCGAATCTCGGTTCAGTTTCGGTTCAGTTCCGGGGAACAAAAATGACGTTTCAAACCGGTTCGCACCGGTTCGAACTGGTTTGAACCGCTACATTGAGAATATATTTTGCTAATAGGCATCATTCCGGAAGTGAAACAAGTAACTATAGAGTTTTATCGCTCGTACAATCACCATTTATTTTCAAATACAAAAAAAAAAAACGCGTCATTTAATTTTAACACACACACACAAAAAAGAAAAAAAGACTACCACACGACACGTCGTGTTTATACGACTCAACATCTAATTATTTACTTCAGTCCCCTGTATTTTATCGGAATTCAAAGGCTGTCAGGAAGTGTGGTAGGTCACCTAAAATACCCGTGATTGTAACAACTTTCTGCCGCAATATTAAACGTTGAATTGTAGTGGACCTATCGAACTAAACAATTATTTACAGAGCATAAAATGATGGAATGGTACCTTGTCGGCGTCTATATCACAATGGGCGACATAAACGTTGACACTTCTGGTGATTCATCCGTCACTTACAGATACCTAGATACACTAGCCGTCTACGGACTACAACAAAGCATAACAACAACTACCCGCTTTAGCGACACAAAACGCAGCACTTTGGATCACATAATTACGTCTTGTCATTCAACAGACTTCACAATTGGCACTATTGCACGCGACATAACCGACCACACACCCCTTTTCGCTGTTTCTAATACACATAAGGTGTAAACAATCGATAACACAAACTACTCAAATATACGATTACAACGTAATAATAAATACATTAAACACGAAGTCATGGGAGAGCGTATACCAGACGCCCACGGCAGACCTAAAACTAGACAACTTTTTAGAAACACTAAAATATTCCAAAAACCCTATCCCACAGATCAGTCAGAAAAAGCCCCTGGTTAACATACGGACTACAGCGATCTATCAATCACAAAAACAATATGTATAAAAAACTAAAACGCAATCCATTTAATCTACGCCTTCAATCTAAATACAAATTGTATAATGTTTGTTTTAAGAAATTAGTTAACGTAGCTAAACAGCAGTATTTTTTTAGTAAACTTGCTAGCGCCATGAACAATCCCAAAGAAACCTGGAAAATTATTAACTTCCACTAAATAGGAGTACTACCGAACAAACTGTGGTCAGCCTTAAGCACCGACCAAGGCATAATTACGGACAAACAAGAAATTGCTAACACGCTCAATGACTACTTTTCAACTATCACTACAAACGTACAGTATCTTTCATGCACAAATCTATCCACTGGCACACCAAATATAGCTCGTAATGACACGACGTTTTTTTCTTTACCCTGTCGATCCAGAAGAAGTTCATAATACTATTAACACGCTAAAAATACTTCGTCGTCGGGTGCGACGGAATACAGACGATAATACTAAAAAAATGTGGTTCCATCTTTGCGCACCCTTTGGCTGATATTATCAACAAAATTTTCACGACTAGCTCTTACCCTGACTTACTCAAAATAGCAAAAGTGATTCCAATATTTAAAAAAGGAGACAAACTAAAACCAGAGAACTATCGACCAATCGCCTTACTTCCTGTCATTACAAAAGTGATTGAAAAACTTCTACTAAAGCAACTGAACCTGTTCTCTGAAAATAATTTAATCACTCCGTCACAATATGGATTTCTTAAAGGGAAATCAACAGAACACGCGTTATTAAATATGGTAGAGAAAACAAAGCAAAATATTGAAATGAAGTTATTAACAATGGGAATCTTTGTAGACCTAACAAAAGCGTTTGACCTAATTAACCATGAACTTTTACTACAGAAATTAAGTGCTTACGGGGTTCGTGGCGTTGTTCTCACCGCCGTATTCATAAACATTCCCCCACTTGACTCCAAACTCGACTCGACTTGAGTGGAGTATGGACGCGCGACTCCACTCGAAGTGCCATTCGTATTCACAGACGCGAACCGGCACTCACTTGAACTCGAGATTCCGTTCTCCACTCCAACGAGCTTGAGGACGTCTGGGAGCGAGAATATAGCCAAAGGTTTTATTCAAAACACAATTTTCACGCGAAAAATAAACATATTCGTTCGTTTTATCTAAAAACGTGTACCATACAAACATCGAATTAGTGAACTACGAAGTTTTATTAAGGCAGCGTAAAGTTTAGACGTGTTTGAGCGACAAAACGGACAAAGTCGTTATCTTGTCTGGCAACAAGCGCATTCGCTGGCTGCGTCTTGTCGTTCTCTCGTCGACGGTCGTCCATCTCACGGTTTGTCGATCTCGTCTCGGTCTTTCTTGATTTCGCCCCGTGCAGCCCTGCTTCGTCGCCTCGCCGCCTCACACGACGAACCATGGAGGACCCCAACGGCAACGACTCGGAAATGGCCAATAGCGAAGAGCGGGCGGGGGCTCGTTTTATTTATACTGCGGAGGAGAAGGCGCTCCTCCAGGCGCTCGTAACCAAGCATGCGCGAGTGCTAGAAAGCAAAAGGACAAATAACTACTCGAAGGAGGCTAAACTTAAAGCTTGGGAGAAACTCAGCACCGAGTATAACAGCCAGCCAAACGTCCGCCCACGAAGCGCTAAGCAACTTAAGAAGCGTTGGGAGAACGAAAAATCCAGGTACAAAAAAATGAAGTCCGACGAAACGAGAGACATCCACGCCACGGGTAAGTCGACCATTTGCATATTTGGTAAACCGTTCCCGATGTGTAAAAAGTAAACATCGGAGAGAAGTCCTTTTCGGCCAGAACAATGCTATGTGCACGACGTCGTGCTCCTTGTTGGGTCTCGTATAAAACAAATTGTCAAAACGAGTTGTTCAAAGCTGTAGCGGACACTCTAAACCCAGTAGCGGATGTATCCGCTATTTATCCACCACTTTTTTGCAAATTCGTGGTGGATATATTTGTGACGAATATATCTGGGTCCGCTTGAAAATGTTTTATCTGGGTTACCTTGGAGAACTTTTATCTGGGTCACCTTGGAGAACTTTTATCTGGGTCATCTCGAAAATGTTTTACCTGGGTCACCTTGAAAATCTTTTATATGGGTCACCCCAGATATGTTTTTACCTGGGTCACCTCGAAGACTTTTTATTTGGGTCACATTAGATACTTTTTTTATCTGGGTTGATTACAGAATAATTCACCGCTACGAACCTTATTCGATACAAATTAAACCCTTCTTTTAGGGTTACTAACGTCATTCACAAAGCGTTGAACATATGTTTCCAATATAGTGATGCAGTCGGCAGCAAGGATAGTATGCATTTAAGTGTTGAGGACGGCGCTAGTGACGCTAAAAATAAATGGAGCTGAATTATGTCTACAGCTAGAACTTTTCTTGCGCCTATAGCGCGGGTTTACCTAAAGCTTCAAGAATACGTGACAAGCAAGAAATAAATAGTACAGTTTTTCACATACGATGCTATATTTTTGCATCTAACATCATGAGAGAACATGCCTCGTTGCTACATTAGGTCATTTAACAGGCGGCTGTTGGCAGTGAGCGCATTGGATCGTTCTATATCACCTCAGACACAATATGTTGCTCTATGTAAACTCCGGGACACTGTGAGCACGGCTACATCAGCAATTTTTCCTACCAGGGCTGTTTTTTTTTTTCGACTTTCGACAAACTGTGTGACGAAGAAAGGAGCGATTAAAAATGTTTGTATATGCAGATTGCAGATACATGCTCTAGCCACTTTACCACATAATCATGGCATATATTTAGGCAGCCATTATGAAATTGCGCAAGCTTTCGTATGCTTTACCACTAAAAGGGGAGGGTATACGAAAGGGAAGAAGCATACAAAAGCTCGTGCCACGTCATAATGACTTCTCTGTGGTTAATATTTGTAGGAATACCTCGAGTATGTATCTACATTCTGTGCGTAAAAAAATATTTTTAAGCACTATTGTCTTGTTTACTCAGTTCTTAGGGAGGGCTGACAACCCTGGCGGAAGCCTCCTTTGGGAAGGGCATCGAAAAGTTTGCACCCCGTCAGAATAACAGCCTTAAACATTACGGTGATTATGTAAAAATGTAGTCAGAGGATATAGCTACTATTAGCGTATATTAAAATATTTTAATCACTATTGCTTTTTTTACACATTTATTCGGAAGTAAAAAAAACAACAACAAAGAACTAATACTTTATAGGGAAGTTTCTGGGTATAAAATATGAATGCTTAGGTTAGTGAGCCCCAAAGACCATTTTCCACCAAACTACTAGTTTTGAAAACAGCCCTTAGCTTTAAAAGGGACAAAAAAAAAAAAAAAAACACAGCGATCGCGTGTTTGCGGAGTGTACTTAATCAGCTTTCTCCAGGCACTACATTAGGATGTCTACCAATATGACACTTTCAAATTCTACGACTTTTTCAGGTTTCCCCTATTCTATCGTAATTCCCTGCTGGGTTCCAAGGGGGAGGACGTATCTGGACCCTTAAGCACTGTTTACATGTGAAAAACACTGGTATATCTGGCGGCCAACAAAGCGTTGGCCAATCACTATATCATACTATCTTGTCAGTCTATTCTTTGATATTTCACCCAAAATAAATCTTTTAGCGCGAGCACAAGGAGAGCACGAGCACAAGGATAGAAGCTATAGTGCGAGCGTTTCAAGAGTATGCGATTGGAGTTCCAGAGATTTGCGTCGGCACGCCGGCCGAGTTGCATGCCATTATGGCACGCCAGCCGAGTTGCATGCCATTATGCCACACCACACGCGCGTGATTTTCGGTCGCTCAGGGAAAGAAATACTCAATTTCCCGGACTGCGAGGTGTATATTCCCCGACTTTTCAAACTCGCCAAAATCGCTGACAATTACAGGTTTTCTGTTTGCCAGGTTGGTAGACAGCCTGTATACAAGGTAGATCATAGGGATCTTCAGTGTTTGTGTAACTGTTGATAGCAGGCACGTAGGCAGGGGGGAGGCGCATGGGGCCCGCCCCCTCCCCCCCCCCCCCCCGAAATCATTCATTTTGCTGGAACCTCCTCCCCTCCCTCGCCCTCATACAGCATTTCGTCATAAACGGCCTCCCCCTCCCCTCCCCCCCGAACCAAAATCCTGGCTACGTGCCTGGTTGATAGCCTGTTTGCATTAGAGAGGTACTGAAAAGTAAGGCATTAAGCTAAACCAGCCAAAAGAACGTAACAAAAGATACGTGAAACAAAGGTTAAACAATGTGAAACATATTTATTTGATCGTAAAATATTGGCACAGTGAATCCTGGTGAGCTGCCAGAAATTTTATATGCATATAAGGAAACGTGATTAGTTTCAAAAACTGTATAGTAACGTCTATCAAGCTTCTTCACTCTTTCAGGCTGTCGAAGATTTTAAGAGGGCCTTTAGAGGTACCCTTCTCCAACTTTGGCGAAAGTTGGCGTCGCCCGCCACCACTATTTGGATTAGTGCCAGGAGCTGAGAAAACGCCACTGGGTAGGTTATGTTTCTTGCATAATAAACTCCCAGGCAGAGCACCAGTGCTCGCTCCATCGATGTTGTCTTGAAGACGATCTTTTGGTCGCTTGAACACCAGATGACTTTTCGGTCAGTGCCAAAAAATAGTTTCGGCCCAGGTTCCACGACGTTGTCCTCTGGACATTCTAGCTGCGATATTGAATAAACATTCCCACTCACTTATACCGCATGCAAAATGATCTTGTCAAGGATGAGTCGATTCATAATTTACAATAATATTTTTTAAGCTAAATAGCAAACAATGTGGTTTACCAAACTGATGAGCTCAAAACGGGTGTTCTAAGGCCTCTTATGCTTGTCGATGCTGACAAACGAGCTGGATTAATTTCCTTGGTCTCGTCGCGAAACACCGAACACCCCTTTAAGCCAGAATGGCACAATAAAGACGTCTCTCTCTCTCTCTCTCTTACCCAGTCGAGGGGTTCACGCAGTTATGAAGACGACGAACTCAATTTTCCAGGCCGTGCGGACCTCCGGAAACGCTTTAGAACGGGCCCCTATCGTTTTATCAAAACTCGTTTCGTGCGACTGCATTTCGTGGACAACTTTTCATAGACACTTTTTATGTACACACGTTTCGTCGACACTGCATGGTTTCGTGGAAGCTTGTTACGTGAACACATATCCTCCTGCGACCAAACGTCACAGGAAGATATGTGTTCACGAAATGCGACCGTAATACACATTGCAACGAACTGTCGCGAGGAGTGTCGACGAAACGAACGTGGAAAGCCTTACGATAAAACAATATATCGAAGAAACGTCGCACGTCAACTGCTTGGCGATGACTGATTTCTCACCGCTTCAAAACAGGTCCAACTAGTTCACTTCATTTCCACAAGCGCGAACGGATTCCAGAACACTAATTACTTATATCCGCCAGACCTTCGCTAGGCGAGAAGACAGTTCATTTCTACAAACATACTTGCAAAAACAGAGCTAAAGAAATGAACTGTGAAAACTTACCCAATTCACGGTGCGAAACCGGGTGGTCCCAGCAATCGATGCAAGCACCGAGTGGAATGTCCGTGGCAAGCTGAACTAACTCTATCGTTCTCACGTAGCGGTCGCACCGACACTCAGCACAGTTACCGCACAAAGCGCCGCGGAGGTCACGACTTGTTGCCTCCATTATAGCTCCTTTTGTCTGAATATCGCTGCTCTCTCTTGGTGCATCTCCCGCGCTTTTGAAAATTCATGGCTTCCCATTGGCTGAAGTTCTCCCGGGACCGGCGTCGGGTTGTAGCGTGGTTTTGTTTTTTCTGTCGGCTTGAAGCTCTCTCTTTACAGCACACTCTTCGTCCCCCTCCTTCTCCCTCCCCTTCTCCCGACGGTGGAGTCATAGATTCAAAAACAAAAACGAAACAAAAAGCAAAAAGAAAAAACAATTAGCCGCAAATTTCACTTTGTTTCTTCGTTTTCGTGCACGAGTCAGGGTTCGCCATGGGCTTTGCTGTGCGCTCTGAGATTCATCCGCTACCGATCTATTTTAACCAAAACGCAAAATGCAAAAAAAAAAAAAAACAAGGTCCCTTAACCTTGAAAAATCCTTTCCGCAACAGCGTGGGGAAAAAATATTCGCCACGAAAGAATTGTATCTTTTTTGATGGATTCATTCGCTACGTACCTCTTTTTGTATGTTAGGTTGCTCGACATTTTGTTGGTATTTTACTATTTTTGTGTCTGTAGCGAATACAGGACTGTGGAAGCCGGCTTTTTACCGCTGTTGTAGCGAATATATTCGCTACGAGCGCTTTTATTCGCTATATATTCGCAACAGAGATTTAGAGTGTAGCAAAGTCCGCTGCATACGCAGGCAGCAGATCCAGATTCGATCCAAAGTGGGCCTACTACTTCTTATTTGTTTTTACTTATTTTTTTGTAGAACATCTGGCGTTATTGACATTTCCATTTCTACAATCGCCACTGAAAAAAAAAAAAAAGGGGGGGTCCCCGCATCTTGCGGGAAGCCTATTCTAACAAAGTGCCCAGCTTTCAATTGCCCATAAGAAGGTTCCAGGTGGTTAAATGTACTCCTCCACTGGGTTGTGCCAGATTCTTTGTTGGGTTCGCTCTAGTCCCCCTAATAATTGTTTTTAACTCGCACGGAGGCATTTCGAAAATTCAGTGTGCACTTTGAATTGTTCGCCCCATACTTTGTTCACTCTCTCTCCAATGTGAGCTTCGAATTCTTTGGTTTCTGTCACAGGAGGTGGGCCACGAACAAGCCGCCCGATGAGCCCCTCGCTCATCCTTGTGGGAGCGGCGGCAGAGCACATGGAGACAGTGGTGACGAATCTCTGTGACAGCGACAGGGCAAGAGACCGGCCAGTGCTGTCGCTGCCTCCGGCCGCTATGTTGGAGGCGATGGTGCGAGGCACTGAAGGCGATGACAGTCACACTCTTAGAAAAAAGGGTACGTATAGTCCTCCCTTACGGGAGGAACGGTCTTGTAACCTATGTTCCTTTAGAAAGGGAGAAACCTTCTTCCCTGAAGCAGGGGAGCAAAGTTCCTCCGTCGCTTGCATCTCAATATGGCGGCCCCGAATCGAGCAAATCGAGCCCAATAAGGCTTAACGAGGACGCTACGTCTCTTGTACGGGGACGAGAGCAGCAGCAAATGAAAGCGTAACACGAGCTTTCCGCGAACTGTGTTTATTTCCGAAGCCAGATTCCCCCCACATGTACAGAAACCTGCGTTTCCAAAGCAGTTACTCAGTCTTCTCGTCGACAGCACTGCGATGTTAAACGGAGACAACCGATACCCAGTTACTTCGCGCACTTTGCGTCTTACCTTTGGTGTTCCTCGAGTCACAATTCCTTCGTCAACCGCACATCACGGAGAAGGGCAAACTCACTCCGCGAAACCAAAAGCCGCTCTCGGAAGAACGAACTCGAAGCCGCTGTTTATCGCGTAGCGTGAAAGAAGGTTAAATCGCTAGCCACCAGATGGCGGGGTCAAGCAGAGTAATTGCAAGTAGCTAGGCAGCGCTAGGTACCGCCCAATTCATGTTCTACAAAAAATTATTTGCTTCTCTTAGGCCACTACTCCGCTTGAGGACCCTCTACTATACACACATGACACCCATATATATTACAAGCATCAGGTGAACATACATTAGGCACATGCACTGCACACACAAATATTAATACAACGGAACACCTCACTAAAACGAACACTACACCGTGCTCTGCGTTTCCGTCTTTTATACTGGTCGTTTTGAACGTGCGGAACGTTTCGGTGACTCCCTAAGCATTAAAACATATTCCCAGCATGTTGATTTTTTCCCTGCAATGTCATACCTCTGAAAGTATTTTGAATGGCTCAGGGGTTGAATCTCTTATTAAAAAGTAAACGCTCAATCATGCCGTAATTATTTGAAAGCCAATAAATCAAGCCGCTCCAATGCGGTTCGAAGCCATGAGTTTGTTTCCCCACACGGCACGTCGTAGCCTGTATTTCTATTGTTTTTTTCTATTTGTGCTCTTCGCGCAAAGCTGCAATTGCCGTTTGAATTAATCTCTGTAGAGCGGATATTTAGTCAGCTGGAAGTGATGCTTCACGGACTGAGAAATTGCTTTTCGATCAACTTGAATGCAGTCAAAGCCGTGACTTGCGGCAGGTTTTAGGTGTACGGAACTACGCCGTGGCGAGCCCGAAAACTTCTAGCGCTCATCCCAGCGCGCCACGGAGGGCAGTTTCTCCAGCAACCGTAGTATAATTAAACAGCAAAATAAAGGGTAGCTTTTTTTTTCGATTTTACCTACTAATGTTTTTAATGCCGAAATTCCATACTGTAAATATACGTACTTTACGTCACGATTTCGTACTGTTCAGTCCTTGCCCCAGAGCGCAATCGCTGTCGGGGACGAGACCATTCCGACAGTCACATTGGCCACTGTACGATAGGAGCTTCTACTGTTCAGACCAGCGTTCCAACATGACTATCCGCACGTTGATCGATTGCACGTAATCCCTCAAGTGGTATTAAACTTTTTAATGTAAAGCGGAATGTCAACCTGCGACACCCCGCCCCCTCCGATCACAACCCGACCAGCAGCATCAATGCCCAACAGTTTACGATCTCATCTTCTTGTTACACCACTGATACGCGAACACATGGTCACATCGGCGATAATTCCAGTCTTCTGTTCACAACCCAACACTGTCATCACGATGTTGCAGCTATGTTGCTGACACGCACAGACACAAAACCACGTTGAACGCCGGTTGCACTCGGCATCGGAAAACAGAACCGAACTCAGGGGGGAAGGCACCCAGGCAGCCGGCAGCAAAACCTGCCTGTCTTGGACGCAGTTCCTGCGGTTTCCATAACGTCGAAAACGTCGACACAGTTCCGCCTGCTTTCGCTACTGTAGTCTGTAGTGCTGCAGCCTGCAGTGGCTGTAGTTCCGTGCCGCGCGAGTCACGCAATCCGGAGACGGCCATCCCCCAGTGTACGTGGCGCTGCTGGCACTGCTCCGGAACTTCGCTGTTTCTAGCGGCTTCGTTTGTTCGTTTGATAAAATTAGTGATAAAAATGTCAATGCAACCGAAATGTTCTGGACGGTTAAACTGGAAGACGGAATTACAGCCGGCCTTCGCTGCTGCTGAAGCTCAATCAACTCAACAGCTATTTATTAAACAACGTGCGCGACCTGCTCGAAAAACGAAACCGAAAGACAATGAATCGGGAGGGCGAAAGCTTTCTCCCGTCTTCCTGGAGAAGGAGAAAAACATTTCGTTCCTCCCCTTTTCTCGTGTCCGCTTGGGGGCGCGTCGGTAGAAGGGAGGAAGGCGCGCCGTTGCTACTTTTTTCCTCCATTTTTTCTTAGAGTGCACGCCCGCTGGAACGACGTGCCAGGTAACTGGGGTCTTTTGGATTGGGACAAATTTGCACCAACATATTGAGGATGAGTACTGTGAGCCGTAACATGTCTACTTGTATTTGCGACTCGTATCATTTTAACAACAAACCTGGAACAAAAAAAAAGCAGGCACCCAAGCCTTTTTCTTTTATTGCTCGGCAACATCTACACTATTGTACATATCTTCGAAGTTCCAAAATTGAAAATGCGAGCAGTGGGTCGCGACGTAGTACTGTAAATTGAAACCAAAACTGGTGGTTAATAGACCTGTTGCAAAGCGTACAGCGCTGCGACGGCAGAGAATTTTGGGAAGACTCGGTGCAGATCACGTGCCTTCTCGTTGCGCTTCCGCGACAGCGAGCGAGTTGCTGCAGCTGCCGCCAGCAGCAGTCGCAGACATCCGCCAAACCGTCGTTGGCGGCGTACCGCCTCTGTGGCAGTGTAAGCGCATCTCTACAGGTGAAGCTATTCACCTATTTAAATACTTTATTCATCGCAACTTACCATCACGTCTTGCAGTGTCACCGAATCCACTTATTTTGCACCGCAACCTAGGCACAGTTCGACTAGGCTTAACAAAGAGTTTGTGTAGCAATCGACGGAGCCGGTGCAAAGGAGAGGGATAAGAAAAGGGCAGCCTCACAAAAGATAGCCAATGAGATAACCTCTCGCATTTCTGTGCACCTGCTTGCGTATGCCACATGGTAGCAGGAGGAAGAACAATGGGAGGGGCGTACCTAGGACTCTCAATATTCGTCTCGTGGCACGCGCGGGCTTATGGGATTTTTGCAAAGGGTCTATTGGTATCGAGAAAACATTGCGGGGCACCTCTCCAAGCTGAGCGCTTCTAGTTCTGAATTTTTTTTATGGAGATATTTTTTCTGCCGAGCATTCATCAGTGATTGTAGGTCTCTTTTCCCAAAATTCCTTCATGGAAATCTAGTGCTTGCAACGCATTGCACTAATGCATTTTACAGCTGCTATATATTTCATGGAAAAGTATGAAAGGTGACAACCACAAAAGTCTCGTCCCATTCACGAAAAATATCTAGCACAACAACAATGAGCCACATCGTAACACTTGCACTGCTGTTACGGGCAACAAAAAACATGGAGGGACACAAATAAATCTCCTTGCATTCTGCTACTACAGCGCCTCCGCTGTTGTCAATGTTGACAATGCAAACACTGCTCATTTGAGGAGCAGCTTAAGCTGTTTAAAAATTAATTACTCATTCAGGGAAGTATAAAATATTAAGATTTTCTGCTAAAGATGTGTTTAAATCCAAAAGCCGATTTATTTGTTTTCCTGGAAATACAATCTGACCAGACAACCCATGTTGTAACATAATTTAAGGCAACAACCCAGGGACGGGGAAAAAAAACAACAGCACAACACACGAGTCTCAAACACAGCTGTGGGGGTTTGGAGACCCTATATACACACGAACCTTTGCGCAATAGATTTCAGCTGTGTTTGAGACTTGCGTGTTGAGCTGTCACTCTTTTCCCCAGTCTCGGGGTTTTCGCCTAAATTTTTGTTAGACTTTCACCAGCTTGTTTGTGCCCCAACTTTTTGTTCACTGCTGCAAGTTAGCGACAAGCTTGCGCATATTTGCTCTTAACAAAGTGTCTGCCATAACAACTGTCTGAGTGTACACATGTTGTGGTGTCCCCTTTGAGGAAGGTTTACATAGTGCAGTTACTCTTGTTTGTTTCTCAGAGAGGAATTTGATCGCATCAGCTGTCTGACATGGCAAGGTCTGTCGTTAACCAACTGAACAAAACATGCAATCGGGGCAAAAACGCATGTAGTCAAAGCACGACGTGAAGGTTGAAGCAGAGGGACACAAATTATATGATAATGCAACGGTAAACCATCCACAGTGCTGGAACTGGTGCAGAGCATAACCCATCGGACACGCTTTGTAGTTTGCCAACGCCTAGCTTTGAACATTTCTACGAAAGGCCCATGTGGCTGTTGGGCCTCTTCCCCTGTGTACTTGCTCTTCCCCTTGCACTCACAGTGCCAATGTGTTCTGCATGCCCAGATGCTCCTGAGCCGTCCGCCTCACCTCTCCAAGAGAGCAGCGTTGGAGCTGCGTATGCGACTCCGCCGGCAAGGGGCATTACCTGCCCCCGTGCTGAGCTGCCAAGCGGGGCATCCAGAAGAGCTGGAAACCGCATCGCAGCATTGGAGCGGATCCTGGCTCCCGAAAAGGATGCCCGTGTCGACATCCTAGAGAGGGAAGATCGGCGAAAGGAGGCGCAACATTTAATGGAGATGCGCATACTCCGAAACAAGCATTTTGAGCAGCGACGACGCGGACGGGCAGAGTTCCAGCTGCTCCAGCTGGAGAGAGAGATAAAGGTGGAGCAGCTGGCAGCCCTGCGCTGCAAGCAACAAGGGTGTGGGAATCATGATTAAATTTGGTTTCTTTCAGTTTAGTAGCATTCTGAGGATTTACTTATTTATTTTAATTATGTGCGCTACATTGTAGTGAAACGGTAGAACCAAATGTGTTTTGCATATTCGGAAGTTGAATGAAAGAGCACACTAGAATTCAAGGAAAGGGCAGGTCTTTCGTTAGCTCTGTGCTGGCCACAAGTCTTTCCCAGAATATGTTTAAGTGACCGAATACCCGGAATTTGATTTAAGAATCAATTTATTTGAGAGCTTACTACTGGATTCGTGTCCGAGTATTTGCACGAGTCAGTGATGGGTCAAGAACGGAGTACAAGCTGGAGAGGAGAAATAGGACGGAAGCTTTAAGTGGTGAGGAGGTTTCTCCTCTCCACCTCAAGCTTCTGTCTGCTTCCTCCTCTCCAGCTTGTACACTATTCTTGACCTGTCATTGACTATGAACATGTGCTTCTGCTTGAATATCTCTATTGGAAACACAGTGCGATGATCTTTGTGCGTTTCAGCGAGCCGTTGATTGTGTCGACAGGGTCTGGAGCAGTCATGGGCACGTTACCAGTAAAAAGTAACAGTGTTACAGTTACAGTTACCTATGGGGAATAAGTAACTCTGTTACAGTTACAGTTACCGGTTTCAAAAAGTAACGTGTTACAGTTACAGTTAATGCAAAAACAGTAACGTCGTTACTTTCTCGTTACAATACGAAAATTGGACACAAGGAATCCCAAACCAAAACAATAATATTTCAGTTGTTACACTATAGTGAAAAGAAAGGTAAACTGAGATATTAGAAAAATTTAATCCCGAAGGGGTGTTTCTTTTTTTTTTGCATCATTTGCCATTTTAGCATTTTGATGTGCATAATTTATTCGCAATAATTTTTATAACCTAGCATCAACCGTTTTTCAAAATGGTCATCAGCCAGCCTCAGTGAACGCTTTGGTTTATTTTTCCCTCCGAAACGAATGAGGAAAGAATAGAATATCCCTTATGGGATATACTCGGAAGGAGGACTAAACATAGCAGGTCAAACAGCTTCGAAAGAATAAAGGGGGAAAGGGGACAATTAACTTCTGGTACTTCACGAGTGTACGGCGACCACCCCGGCGTCTATGTCCGAAACGCCAACCGTAGAAGTCGTGTTCACTCGAGAGCCTCCGAAGAGAATGAATAAGTTAAACAAGCGCCGGCTTTCTGCACAATATGGGGACGGCTTCCTTGGAAACTAATAGGGAAGAGGAAACGGCGAACGGCAGGGTGTAGAAACGACAGCACGGACACAGCCCAGACGGAATACTCGGAGACATATCACACGACCACCGACACCCGCAGATGGTCCCCACGAAAGAAGAGTGAGCCAAAGTGGGTGAAACAGACATTGTTTGCCGCCCCTACCACCGCAGGCGCCGCTTCCTTTATCTCTCAGTTTCGTGCTGACTCGTCCTTCGTCCATTCTCGGTCGTGGGCTAAACCAGGCAATTTTTTGTTTGCTTAATGCGTGACCACGGTTCTCTTTATTATTTTTTTTTGTCATCGAGGAGCTTGGGGAAAATACTTTTAGATGGATATTTTTTCATGTCCGCGGCAGTGGGTTCTAATTTATATGGCAAAAAAAAAGTGAAAGCTGTTTACAAATCCCTGTAACGCCGAATTGGAGCGCAGCTCTTGAGGAGTCAAGGGTACTGAGGGGAGGGTAGACCCCTCCTCCTTCTCCTCCTCCTCCCCTCATTCTTTAATATGCTCCGGGGAGGGGGTACGTGACCTCGGGGGGGTGGGTGTCACGTGACTTCGGGGAGGGGGTCACGTGACCTCGGGAAGGCGTGACCTGGGGGTCACGTGACCTTGGGGGTCACGTGACCTTGGGGGTCACATGACCTGGAGGGGTCACGTGACCTCAGAGGGGTCACGTGACCTTGGGGAGGAGACCACGTGACCTCGGGGGTCACGTGACCTCAGAGGGGTCACGTGACCTCAGACGGGTCACGTGACCTCAGAGGGGTCACGTGACCTCAGAGGGGTCACGTGACTTGGGGGTCACGTGACCTTCAAAGGGTCACGTGACCTTGAGATGACCTTGGGAGGGGTCACGTGACCTTGGGGGTCACATGATCCCAAGATGACCCCACGTGACCCCCAAGGTCACGTGACCTTGGGGGTCACGTGACCTTGAGATGACCTTGGGAGGGGTCACGTGACCTTGGGATGACCTTGGTTACGCCGACGGCGACGCCGACGCCGCTCAAGCCGGGAACGGGCCCCTAAGAGCTGCGCTCTAAAAGTAACTGTAACGGCCTAAACAGTTACAGTTACCCAATAAAAAGTAACAGTGCTACAGTTACAAGTTACCAGTATTCAAGAGTAACGCGTTACGGACAAAAGTTACCGGAAAAAGTAACTAGTTACCGGCAACGCGTTACTAGTTACTAGTTACTGCCCAAGACTGGTCTGGAGGTGATGGCAGTACATGAGGACGCAGCCGCCTCCGGTGTCGGGGGACTGGTGGAGAGGGTAGAGCGGGTGGGCATGGCTCTTTTCGCAGCCGGGCCAGGTTGTGCAGTGCAGCACAGGCGGTGATGATGAGGGCTGACCGTTCCGCCTTGTACTGCAGCCGCATGTCCAGGCATGGGAAGCGTCGCTTGAACACTCCAAATGCTTGCTCGACCGAGTTCCTTGTTTTTAGGTGAGCTGCTTGGTACCTATATGGTGCAGCATTGGTAATGGAAGCAACGTTGCAAGATAAAGGTCTTCAGGTATAAAAATCGCCACTGCTGCAACCATCAGTATGGTTCAGTAACCTGTAGAGTATGGCCCATCCGTGCTAGCTGCATTTTCAGCATTTTCTATTGCTTGCCAGAGGCTACTGTTCTGCATACAGTGTGGCTTTGGCTGGTGTTTTCTACATTACCACCTTAATTCAAGTTCTTGGCCCTAATCCAATTCTAGTGACAAAGAGAAACAATTGACACTGACTAATTGTGAAGAACAACAAATGTTCTCGAGAAAAAAAAAAGAAAACTAAAATCTTGTATGCTACATACTTTTGAAAAAAATTTGTCCACAGGAAGTGAATAATGCCAGCTTATTTCGCCATACAAAGGCCCAAAGGTCATGAATCTAGCTGTGACAAAGATTTGCAGAACTAATAGTAACCAATAGGAACGCTGTGGCTACTGCATCACTTCTTGTTAGCTGTTCTGAATTTTATGCCATTACTTCTTCCAACAAACTAGTACATACCTGCCCTTTGGGCTGTTGGCTACACCTGGGCTGGTCAGGGGCGTCAGTAGAAATGACATGCAGGCATAGCCTGCATCTCCGAGCAGCAGGCCAGGGATGCGCTGATTCTCGTACAGGGCCCTTGCACGACTGTTGTCGAATATCCTGCTGTCATGCACAGAGCCTGGCCACCTAGCAACAAGGTAAAAAAACTGCAGCTGGGGTCCTGTGATGGCCTGTGGATAGGAGGAGCAGTACAGGGATGAGCAGGTTGCCATGATATGAACACAGAATTGCTCAAGCTGAAATTTCTACTATGATTAGTATATTTTTGACAAAGTGCATCTGCAAGCTTTGGAAATTAACTAGCATTTGAGTTCTCGCAGTTGTATGTGACGTAAGCTTCACAATGTGGTTTTAATTCCTAGGTTTTTCAGGCGGTATAACAGAACAGAATTTTAGCACGGGATAAAATCTCTCTAATATTTTCTTCGAAAAGTATAATTCAAGGGGAAAATACTATGAAGCATGAGCGTTTGCTATAAAATAACAAAAGCCATCTCGGCACCCAATCAAATGTATGTTTCAAAACACACAATACATAATTCTTGGTTTTGAACCAAGAATTATGTATTGCTGGCCCACCACCACTCTGCACTGTCGCAGAGTACAGATCTCTTCACAAGTTCTAGTGCATATCAGTCACAATATCGCCGAGCTTTCACGTGCGACGCCGCGTCTTGGCGTGCCGTTGTTTTAAACTTTTTCGCTGTCGTTAACAGCACAAACAGAAGTGAACTTACCTGCACGTTGAGGGAGAAGAACCCCTTCCTGTTCCTGAAGACTTCCCCATTGGGACCGCCGGGTCCCTTTATTTTGACGTGGGTGCAGTCGATGCACCCAGTCACACTGGGGAACTTCCCGATGTTGTAGAAATACCGCATGACCTCGTCGCAGTCGCCCTCCGGGAAATCCACGAGGCGGGGGAAGAGAGTCTCGGCGAGCACCCGGGAGACGCGCTCGATTACGCGGCACACCGTCGGCTGCGACACGTTTACGAGGTCGCCCGTGACTACTTGAAAAGTCCCGGCGCCATAAAATCTCAGCGCTACGAGGAGCTGGAGCATCGGGGACAGTGGCAGGCCGCGACTGCTCTCGTTTGCTTCCAGCGGCAGGCACTGCAGGAGGCTTACAACTGTCGATTTTGTAAAACGATAGCGCACCAGGAATTCCCAATCGTTGAAATGCTCCAGCGGATTGAGCCGGTCCCGGCAACGTCGTCTCGGCACATCGACGTCCTGGTCGGGGTCTCGTTCGTCGTGAAGAACTACGTCCGTTCTCAACACGAAGTCGACGAAGTCGGCGAACGATGCGTCGGCCGCCATGACACTGAACGCACTCGAGTGACTCGAGTGGCCGTTCAAGGTAGCTCCGGCGCAGACTCGAGATCTCGAGTAAATTTTGGAGTTTCGAGTGGAGATTTTGGAGTCGAGTGGAGTTTCGAGTGGAGATTTGTTTATGAATCGCAAAACCACCCTCAAGTCGAGTTTCGAGTCGAGTAGCGTTTAAGAATACGGCGGCCAATCTAATCGAAAGTTATCTATCAAACATGCCACTTTGTCACTTTAGATGGCATTATTTCAACAACTAAACCTATTACCATCGGTGTTCCGCAGGGCTCAATATTAGGTCCCTTTCTTTTTTTTATATATATTAATGACCTGGCAGCCTATTTACAATAAGATTGTGTTCTTTATGCCGACGATACAAATATTTTTATATTTAATGCA